GCCTCGGTCAGAACCTCAGTCAACTTTCTCCTTCCCTGTAGCCCACTTATATAATTATCTGCTTATACAACATCTTGAAGGTCCAGTGTGCAGGACTTAATGACATCTACTGGTGTAGTTGCAGATTGCAACTCCGTCGCTTCACCCTCCCGTCCAAGCACAAAGTGGCTGCAAAACACACAGAAAACTCAAAACATTTGCTTTCAAATGTAACTAGCAAGCTAAAAATGAATGTAGATTAGTTTGCTAGTGTTTTGCTAACATGAGCTAGCTAACTTAAGATCTGACTTTTGTTTTTCACCATCTTCAAAATTTGTTTGTCTTATGGGAAAGGAGAAAGTTGACCGAGGCTTGCTCACCTGTTATTGGAGCACAGAGCAAAAAGGGGCTGGACTTAGGAAGGGTCATTTGTGCATAGTGTGGATAGTTTATATGTTATAATATTGAGTTATATTTTGTTATATTAAGCTAAGCTACTTGAGTAGATGTTTTTCTAATATTGTGCTGACAGAATTATATTTCACAACCTTAAATTTGATCCATGATACATTGTTGTATTTTGTTCTGGCTCATTTGTGTGAATTGTTCCCATGTAATCTAATGTTTTATGACAAGTTGGTGCATACAGGTATGAATCAGCCTTTTATCCGAAAGAGGTGCTTCAATTGCTCGTACATGACTTTTCCACTTCTCTGATAATTTGGGTAATAATTATACCCCTTTGCGTACATGAAGGGACGTAGGCTGGTGCAGACTGGGTTGGGTTCGACTAAACAGCCTATTATTGGCCAGTTAGTTGCTTGTCTTGCTGTGTGCAGCCAGTGAACCCAGAGCCTGCAGTGCAATCCAAAAACTTTGCAATGCTGCACTTTCCTCAGTCCTTGGAAGCCAACACTTATGACGCATTTTAAACCAGAAAAACAGCTTGTTTGTTGCAGAGTATCTTTTGCAGAATAGCCAAGTAAAAGTCAGTTTCAGTGAAATTCCCTTTTGAAGCCAGTTGCCTTCTGGTGCATTTGGTTTATTCTTTTTATTCAAGGGTTTATAATTTTTTTTTTCCATCTACATACAAACATACAAATAAAGAACAAAGGCAGCATAAGGAAGGACATGCTTATGGAGCCAAACAAGCCCACAAGGGAGCATGGAGTGCCCTCCTAGTCTCCTGGGACAGATTTTAATGAATTTAATCACATAAATAGGAGCAAAAAAACTAATAATGTGTGAAACAGAAGGCAACATGACATGAAATGTTACAGATGAGATGTACAGGTAAAACTTTAATATAAAAGAAAAAAACGAAAAACATAATATGACCTGTTCTTGTGTTCTTGTGTTCTTGTGTTTCTTGTGTTCTACTCTGTCTAGTAGAGGTGTAGATGTTGTCGATGGTAACACAAGCATTAGCCAGACAAGCTGGGTCAGGGTGTAATCCTGCAAGAGATACTGCTCCGCTCCACGTTACGCACACACACACACACACACACACACACACACACACACCCCACCTATGGCTCCATGCACTTTATTGACAGCTGTGCTTGCTGTGTCTCTGAGTGTGCGTGTGTAATGTGTGTGTAGGTGCATGCATGTGTATCCAACCCTGTGTGTGACAGAGGGACAGCAGGCAGGGGACCAATGGAAAAGCAGACTGAAAGGGGCAGGGCATGGTTTCATAGGTGCACATGCACACACTCGCACGTGCACACACACAAACACACACACACACACACTGCCAGTATTATTGAGTGCGTTGTGCGACAGACAGGGAACTGAATCCTGGCCTGCTGAGTAGGAGAAAAAAAACTTGCAGTTATGTGTGTCTGTATTTACAAACCTGTGTGTATGTGTACACTGTTCACAATATTTGAACCATGCTTTTCTATGAAACAGAAAGACAAGGTGAATCCAGGTGAAAGCTCTGTCACCGTATTGATTTAAACTCTGAAATCAATTTGAAAATCGATGATTTATTGGATTAAAAAATTAATATGTTGTGGAAAGAGGGATGAGAAGTAATTATTTTATGGGTGGTTGTAATTTTTTATGACTTATTGAATGACTCTTCTCTAAGAAGCATGTAGTAAATGCGCTACGTGTATCTGTATATGCTCAGTGTTAATTGTATCAATATTCCTGTCGTGAATAGTCTTTATTGTGTGTTTTATTTTGTGTCTCTTATGTTAGTCTGGTGCAGAGATGGGAAGTAATAAAGTACAAATACTTTGTTACTGTATTGAATTAATTTCTTCGGGTATCAGAGTATTCATTTTTATTTTTATACAGATATTTGTTCTTTCTACTCCTTACATTTTCAAAACAACATCAAGAGCATGCGTGCATAGCAGGTGTAACATGAACAAAACTAATGTAAAAGACACAACCAACAAGAGAAGGAGACTTGACCCTGTTTAAAGTTTCAATTAGCTTTGTCGGTAGAAATTTCCTTCAGAGAAACCAAGAGGATATTTTTGGGGCTTTTCATGCATTTATTTGAAAGGAACGATGGAGATAGACAGGAAAGGGGGGAAAGAGAGAGGGGGGGTGACATGGAGCAAAGGGCTGCAGCTTGGAATCGAACCAGGGCCGTTGCGATAAGACTACACAGGGTGCATGCAGGTTTGGTAGACCCTGCACCTGCACATTTATAGTGTACATTTTAGAGTTTTTAGTAAAAAAAAAAAAAAGGTTCTGGTCTGGTGGCCTTCACATCAGCTCTCAGAGTTACACTAAGGTCACCCCCTCCCCTGTTCACACACACAGTTCACAACCTGCATTTTCATGATCCTTGTTGCAAACCTTTCACATCTTTTTTCAGGTTTTATTTACAGTCTGAACATTTAGTTTCACAGTGCTGGTGGTTAAGTCAGGTTAGGCATGTTTACTATGCAAATTAAGCTGTTAATCTCCGCTAATACAGACATACAGTCACTACACTGAAAGGTTTTTAAGTCATTGTGTAAATAGAACCTCAATACTTGACCAATGTGTGTCTTTATCGCGGAGTACAGAAAACTGTCAAGTACAGACAGCTGGCACAGGCTGTCATATTTGTAATCTTGTTTACTTAGTCTTCTGCTTTAATCTTCAGATAGTTGATTTAAATGATTTTTTAGAATATTTTACCAAGTTAAAGGTGTGGCAAAAAACATTACACTCTCTTGAAGACTAATAATTATATAATAATAATAATTGTATATAGTCTCTTCAATAACAAAATGTCAGACAAATATTTAGCTTTGTTTGCTAAAGCTCTATCCTCAGTGTTTTAATGTTGGACTCTTCGTGTGTGTGTCTTTGCTTGACTCTAAATTCTGCATGTATTTATTTCTATGTGTATACTTGGTGTTTTACACGTTTCACATGCCTGCATGCTCCTGTGTTTATGTTTGTTGACTTTGTGCCAACTTAGTACAAACACAGAAAAAGTGTGCTTTAGTATCAGTTTCTGTCCCCAAGGCCTCGTTGTCACATGATCAACTGACCTGATTTTGTGTTGCCAAGGCGATGCCTTGTTTCAGGGTTCAACTTAATGCTCAGCTCCACCCCATGACCTTGGGACATATCTTTGTCGCTATGGTTATAGCCTCCAGGGTTACTGTAAATGAGAAGAGTGCATTGGATGGGTGCACCAAGCATTGTTTTTTGTGCTTGTGCATCAAATTAGGCATTTTACCACATTTATGTACCCAGAGAAGATTAACTCCTTTTAAGGAACACCTTGCAACACTTTCATACAATTTCAGATTCACACCTGGGCGATACTTGATACAGTAGTCTTCTGGTCAAGGTAGTTTGGGATTAAATGTTTTGCACTGTTGTCATAAACAGAAGTTTGTGCAATGCTAGATCTATAACCCTTTGACACATGGAACTTCAAAATAGCATTTATTCCCTTGAATGATGAATGTGCAGAGTAGAAAAGGAGAAGTGAGACTGTTACAATACAGGGTACAAATACCCTGTACTAATGTGTTTATTATAATGTTTGACGTCCGTTTCTATGATAAAGCTTTAAAGTGTGTATTTAGTCACATAAACATTTGTATTGAAATAAAAATGAAATTATTTAGGTTAGTTCTATTACCAGTTTTTCATTTCATCATAATAGCTCCCAGTTTACCGGAGGCATATGGTCAAAGTGAAACATTGTCCACCAGAAAGCGAGCCAAGCTCATGAAAGAGACCTAAATGCCTCCAAATAACTATGTTTTTATTTAAACAAAAAAGGGAGGACACACGCCTCAAAGCAGTGTCTCATGCGGGTAAACAAAGCGTGGTTGCCATGCTGATGGCGCGTCAGTGTATAAATAGCACGGGTGTTTGTTCTGAATACTCCTGAAAGAAGACAGAAGAGAGACAGAGGGAGGGAATAGCAGGGAGACAGTGATAGCCAGTATGTAAAATCACAGCAACAGATTCACTTGCTTTATTCACTTTGCTTTTTTTTTACAATCTCAATGAATATGCATCCAAAGTCAACAGGTTGCCTGTATTAACATTTGCACATATGTATCATTGCCATTAAAGAGGCAGATAAATACAGCAAGTAACACCACAATAATTTTGTTTCTTTGTATGTTTTATGTTGAGATAGTTTTATCCGAAAGTGCCGAAAGATTAATCAACTTTGGAGAGCTAACTAGAATCATCGATACATCCTGGATGCAAGCGCATGAGTGAGCGGGTTTGTTAGAGGTCGTAGTGTCCCATTAGCTCTCAGAAGAGTCACTATGAGTTTACTATTCTTATAAGCTACTGTTTTGCACAACTGCCATTAAAACTGAAAGCAAATGGTTTTGTGGAAAGTAACACTTGGCTGAAGGTTAAGCTGATTGTAATTGCACAGTAGGTAATTTGGTTATTATACAGTGATAATTGAGCTAGAAGAGGCAGTAATAATATCAGGAAAAGTACAATTTCCTGCTGATGTGTAGAATAAGACCAAGGGACGCTTTGAAAATGGTGTTAACACTCTCTCTGTCTCTGTTTCCCTGTAGGGAATGCTGACAGCACCTGCAGACAGACAGACGTGGACAGACGGCACAGACACCCGGAACGCTTCCCTCCCATTGGTGGAGAGATTCAGACTTCACACCAGGACCTGCAGCTCCAGTCGGTCATCAGCTTTCAACTGAGCAGCAGGCTCCACCTACTCCGCCCAAGTAGCTCTGCATCCTCTACTCAGGTAGGACAGAAGTCAAAGAAATCGCACCAAAGTGGGGCAAATGTGGAGTTTTGTGTTAGTAGATACGTGATAGACTACTATTAAATCCATCAGCTGAGTGTGAACTGTTGAGGAATTGATTTTATAAGCCTGCTCAAGAGATGTATATATTTATGCAAGAGCATTTGGTAAATAAGCATTCGATCAATTAGAAAGAGTTAAAACATCCTTTTTGTTGTTTTATGTCAAAAACCAGTGAATTGTAGTGACCACATAGTAACTATTTCCTCATAATATTATAGTACAAGTCTTCTCTTTCTATTTTTGTCTCTAAATCATTATTCATTACGTACGAGCTCCAGTCGCAGTCTTGACTGATAATGCTCTTTTTTTGACTTTCATGTGACACCAGATAAGAGTGTGATGATTGCATGAGATGCATTAAAATGCTGTGAGTCACCACAATTAGTTTCCCACATGAGTCTATGTAACACTGACCATGCATGATGACGGTCAACAAAACTGTCCAAAGAATGAGTTGTCTGTCAGTCCATATAACTTAATGCTTACACTTCTTAACTCATTAGTAGAAAGACAGTGTGGACACAGAACAGACCAGAACTTAAGATTTTTCCTCCAAACTACAGCTGTGTAAGTGAATTAACAGAGCAGCAGACTTAACTGACTCTACCATTTCTCCTTCTGGTAATAATAACAACAATTTGTCATTATGACGTTGAGAATAAATTAATTAAGTTATGGCTTTACTGTGAATATGAGTTTAACTAATCAGCCTTGGTATATAGAGTATCTGCTAGGTGAACTACCAGGCCGACACATTTTTTTAAGACATTTCTGACATTTTTTCGGTAACAAGGAATGAGGGGAGACCTGCCTTGACCTGGTCAGCTCCTCAAACCTCTACCCAACCAGGATGCCCTACTGATTCTTTAATTTGTAGGATTTTTAATAGCCTGAAGTAGAGAAAGTGACCAGTATTTTACAAGAAAAAAGTTAATCCAGAAAAAATAAACCTAATTCTGTGTAGCAGAATTATATGTTTCTTTCTTATACCTTAAATTAGCTTGTGACCTCTCACATTTATATGTGACCCAGACCTCTTGGGGCCCCTGCTGCCAGGTTGAAAAACTAGATATCGTACCTGGCTTGGTGTTACACTGTTCTGTGTATGGAGTTGTTGAGAATTTTGTCAGTGTTATGTTTGTAGTATAGATCGGTTAGAAGAACTGATGTGCTTATGTGTGTTTGGGTTTGTGTTTGTTTCTGTGGCCCAGAGGATAAACTTTTCAGGCCCGTATGATCCTCCTTCCTCCCTCTCCTCTCTTCTTCCATTCATGTGATTTGCCTTTTGATTCTTTGCTTTCCTATTCTTCACACTGACCCTCCCATTGATGTCTCTCAGCTGAGTTTTTGCAGTCTCCTGTCCCTCCCTCCTCTTTTCTGTTTCTGTATCCTCACCCTCCGCTGCATCTATTGAAGCTCCTCCGTCAGTCCTTTATCTCCGTCCCACCAGCTGTGTGTTGAAGCTCCATTCTCTCCTATGAGGGAGAGCAGAAAGAGAAGGGCTTACACTGAGAACAGTGAGAAAGCCAATCCCTGCCTTTCGTCCTCTCCTCTCCTCTCCTCTCAAACACTCTGCTGTGACCAATCTTGTATCCTCTGCCTCCTGCTGCTTACTGTTCCCAGTGTCTCAGATGGGGTGTTATTTTTAAGGAAGATGTATTTCAAGTCAGAAAGTAAGGGAAAGAGATCACAAACTACAGGCTAGATTTATTTGCACCATGTTTTATGAAACTACAAACATTCAGAAGTTTAATTAGTTTTTAAAAAATCGCTAAATAGAACTATCTTCTGAGTCTCATCCCAGTTGCAGCATACCTACAGTTTTTTGTTCATTACCCTACAGCAATATACAGTTATGCTTGACTCACCAACAGCATCATTAGATTTTGCTGTGAGGTGCTTCGGTGTGCTTGGGGACCTGCTTCATAACTATACAAATATGTTTTGAAGTGCAGGCTAATTAGTTTATTAATTTAACTTTGTACCAATTCAGAGAGGAGTAGCGAGCAGGGGTGTAAAATAAGTAGAGCCACTGAGAGAAACAAATAAAGAAAAGGTGAGATTAACGGAAACGGATGCAAGAAGAGCACATAATTAAACAGAAATGCAGAATATTAAGTAGTTTTCTTAATCTAAGTTGATTTTCTGCTTCTTTCTCACTCACAAAGATTAAAACTCTCCCTGCCCTTCTTTCCCTCCCTCTCTCCTCTCTCCTCCCTGTCTCCTCCTTTCTTCACCCATCAGTCTTGCTGAATGGAAATTACACATTTCACTCCCTGTTTCTTTTCTGCTTCCTCTCTCTTTTGTGCATTCGCTGTTGACAGTTGCCTTTCTCCGAGCAGAAAGCCTCAGAAATGAGCAGATGGAGGGCTGACAGTCTAGAAGCTCAAACAATGACGCTGGGCGGCAAGTCGTGGTGATCAGCACATGTCAGAAAATAGCTGTTAATGGGGGAACCATATACAGACTGTCAGTCCTCTATATAGGGGATGGATCCATTTTTGTCTAGCTGCGTGTTGAGGATGTGGAGTCAGAATCCAATCACCTTAGATTTGACATGTGTGTTAAGATGTTTGACACATGCCTTATGCTGTATCCTGCATGGCTTAAAGAGAGTTCAACCGTAGAAAAGCTTATGTTACTAGACAGCTAACATAGCAAGTCATGAATAATACACTTATGAATGTGAGTCATTGAGATGGTGCTAATGCGGCTCCTAGTTTGCTTGGATGTGTTAAAAATCGGTCACTCTTTTATGTATCCATCTACCACTGCTGGAAAACAAAAATTATATTTACAACAATAATTGAACAAAGAGTAAATACTTATGTGGGTCTACTGGAGCTTTTCTTTTATGTACATTTTCAGTTTCCATACAATTAGTATCAAATTACATATTTCTTTCCAGGAAACATAAGAATCCAGAAATGTATTGAAATTACAGACCCATAAAATAAAGCATAAAACAAAAAAAATCTCAGCTCTACCGCTCAGGCTCCACTGACGGTGGCACTGTAAAGAGTTTACAGAAATCAGTAACAAAATCAGCGTTCTGTCTGCTTTTACTAGACTGGAAGTGTCACACTGATCCGCTCATTAAGTTTCTTACATTAACTTTAAATTCAGATAATACCCGGGGCACAATTGCAAAATACGCTTGACTTTGATTTCATTAGCACAACTAGGCTGTAACATTTTATATGCAGAGAGAAAGAATAAACTTGTCTTGCAAGGCAAATCTGACACCTTTATATTAACTTTATATTTTCAGAGATTGAGTTTTCTTTTTCATTTGAAACTGAAATGACTCCCACCCACTTGCTCATGGTTAGACCCAATGCAGCCTACAGCAACAGCTCACAGTAATCTCAAAGATGTCAAATTAACAATTAACCCAGCAATGCTCTCTATAATAAAGCTTCAAAGGAGCCTTTAGATGTCCAGCAATGCCAGGGGGTATATGCTCAATATGAAGTTAACTGAACCTGTCCCTGTTGTTTGAAATTAGACTGCAGGCTAACAACAAAAGATTTATGTCAATCTAGCAATGCAGGTCAAAAGTATATACATAGTTTGTTTTAGTGTGCTAGCATAATACCATTTTAATGTCAGACATACAAGAAGTATTTAAACTTTACATACGTTTCCTGTAGTAAGAAACCAGTTACATCCTTGAGAGGGTTAAACAACCTGAGTAAATGGAGAGGTTCCCCCTTCTCTCTCTCTCTCTCTTTCTCTCTCTCTTTCTCTCTGTGTGAGCATGGATTTCCCCTTCTCTGTTTTCTTGTAATAGCTGTGCTCTGCTTTATTTGATCTGGGCCCCCGCTCTCATAGTAGGATTGAATTGGGTTTGGAGAGCAAGGGAAACACACACACACACATATATACACACACCTGAGACTGCCAACTGCTACAGCAGCTGCCCCAGAATGAAGGACAGAGAGAGACAGAGGGGAGGGAGAAGAGGGGCAACAGGAAAAGTAGTAAGATGCATGAGGATAGGGGAGGAGAGGCAGCTAATAAGGAAGAGGGTGGATTATTGGAATGAACTGAGATAAGGAAAAAAAGAAATGGGGGGTAACTAACTTGCATCTTTAAATGAAACTAGTCTCTCCTACGTGGTGCTGGCCACAGACAAGGTGAAGGAATTAATTAAATCGAGACACATTTAATCTGTACCTCTCTTTTTCATCTTTCTGCCTTGTCTCTTCTGTCCTCTATCACCACCCGCCTCGCGAGTCTCTCACTCAGTCTCACTTTTGTCTCGGCGTCTTTCCTTTTCATGCCACCCGTCTCCACAAACATGCTCTCTCCGACACGGACACGCACACACACAGGCACACACACTGTTCCTGTCTCCGCACACTAAGCAATTAGATAATTACCTGGCCCAGTGTCGCGGGGTTCATCCAGACTGCTGGTTTCTTTCTGAATTACTAAGTGGAGAAGAGAGAGGGAGCGAAGGAGAGGAGGCATAGAAATGAAGAATGGAGGAATGAATGAAAAGAGAGACATTCTCAGTTGGAAGAACTGACCTGAGACTGCCTATTGTGCAGGTACTAGAAACTGTTAACAAGAGAGAAGAAAAGAACACAATGGAGTACTTTTGAAAATATTTTATGTGAATGTTTCAATCAAGGCCATTCTGTCTGAAACATCTTACAAAACCATATTGTGTCTCCTTTGTATGCATATTTTCTTGAAAGTCTTTAAAGACAGTTTTTTTTCTCCAATCACTGTTTTTTTCCCAGCTTTCAGTATGATTTTATGTCACTGACAACATACTCAAATCTACATGTGGAGAAAAAAAGAGCAAAAACATATCACACAGAAACACACAAGAAACTAGCCTGATGCATTTTGATAGCTATCTTGTTGCCATGTGCATACTTTTACATCATTTTTGTAACTGTAGAAGCAGCAACAATGGATTTCACCCAATATTTATTTTCCCTGGATTTAATTAAAAGTATATCTAACAAATTAACATTAACATGATCCAGTTTGAATATTAGGCCGCATCATATGTGGTCCAGACCCAAAACTTCATAAACTGTAGCATAAACCTTTTTCAGGATTGTAATGCTCCGTAGCAATAGCACAATACATCCTTTGCCAAATACCACCCGACAAAGCAATTATGTCATAGTATTGATAAAAACAAAATTTTTTGTGCATGGTTGATGCAATCGTAAAAAGGAATTTCAGACGTCTGCTCTTTCTGTTCTGAACCATAAAATAAAAATCAATTTAGGAAGAATAACTCAGTTACAGTAAACTTCTGCAGCAGCTCCTTATGTTCCATACAGCCACCATCTGTTTATAACGGAGAGATGTTGAAGTCAGTCTTAATAGCTATGCAGGGGGTGCAATGGCTTCCCCCATAGGAGCTAATCAGCATCAGGGAGAGAGTATGTCTGCTCGGCTCAACCACCGTGTTCCATTACTGTGTCCAGATAAACATCACTCTGTGCGTATCTCTGCACAAGTGTGTATTTGTGATTCAACATGTCTGTTAATACACCATATACCTTCATCTATTCGTGTCTGCATCTGTGCGTCTGTGTATACTATGCAGTACGTGGGCGTATGTATGTTACGGACACAGCCTCCGGTAGTTTGTGTTTGTGCACCATAACATGCTAAATGCATGTGTAAGTGAAATGTGAAATGTCATGTGGAGCTGTGGGGTATCGATTGGAAATCAGCCATCAGCATGGAAAAACATGTTGCTGTATAGGTCATTGCTAATGAGCCATACGTGTGCTGGAACATTGTGAGTGTCTGTGAGCGTTAGCGTGCGAGGGAATGGGGGTGGATGCCTGCGTCTGCATTTTTGTGGAGTGCACTGTATCTTTGTGACTTAATATATCTCAAGCATTTACTCTTAAATTTGAATAGAAAGAGATAAAGTGTGTGTTTTATGAACTATAAGAAATGCGTGTGTGTGTAATTCTACTCTTGTGTGGGTGCCATTATTCACAGAAGAGTGCTTATCAGCCTTCGGCGTGATTAATCCACTGTCCTTCCTAACTCCGACCCACTTTTGTTGCTCTTTTGTTTGTTTGCTCTTGATTCCCTTCTGCTTTATAGCATTAAGCAATGAGTAATGATGACTGACATCATCTCTGGCTAGGCTAGTGCCGACTAATTGGCCAGAGCGATCTGATTGCATTAGATGTTATTCCTTCAGGGTATTCCCTGTCCTCCGCCCCCACTTTGAAAGATATCCCTTATTGTTTGCATGGAGCAACATATTGCTTTTGTGTGGCCTTGTTTTGGTTTATTGTATTAATGGCAAGAATCCACTGGTTGGTTCGTAAGCAGGTCGTGAGTTTAGCATTTTTGATTTATGGTTTGTGTGTTTTAACCTGAACAGTGAATAATGTTAAAAGCTGTGATTGCTGTCGAGCTTTGGCTGCTCTTGTTAATTGCTATCATCTAAAATGCGCATCTCAGGATACCTCAAGGATATTACAAACACGCTACGGGGACAATAATATACCACTGAAATGTCTTTGGTTATTGTGTGGGTGCTCTGGGTGCTCATGTGAGAAAGCAATAAAGGTTGAAAAATGAAGTTGTGCTTTAGATTTACTAACAGCCATGAGAGGCTTTTTCCTCCACTCATCTCTCTTCCTTTCTCTCTCTCTCTCTCTCGTCTTGTCCGTCTTCCTTCTTTCACAGCAGCCGCTGTAAGAGCCACCTTTTCAAGTGAGGTAAAATGATTATAGTAATTGATGCCCCCCACTCCAGCCTTTCTCTTGCTCTCCTTCACAGCCACTACTCTGTACATTCTGTTCTGTACATTAGTGCAGCCCCGGGAATGCCCTCGCTCTCGCTGGCTTAATGCAATCACACCTCCGGTGTAAGTGCACCGAGAGAGTGAGACAATCGAGAAGAGAGATGAGAAAGTATAGGGAGATGCAGAAGAGGACTGGTGGGTGGCAACTGGCAGGAGTGATCACATCAGAGGATGATAATTACCTGGAGACAGGACAGAGAAGTCATGCAAATTAGATAATTTACAGGTTCTTATGTCAGACAAGGTACTTGTCTAGTTTCTTGGCACAAATGTCATCCGCACAATCATAAAACTACTAATTTGTTTATGATAGTTTTCGAGGCTGGTATGCGTGGAACATCTGGTATGGTACACCTTAACTGATTAGCTGAAAAGGTTATGCCCTGGAGAATTGTTTCACTTTTGAAATGTGTTCCTCCTACAGATTTCATGTATCCATAAGGTCACATTTCTATAAAAAAACAACCAATTACACACAATAAAAAAAGTTCTGCTCATGATTAAAGAACTGTCAGTTGAGCTCCAAATCGAAGTTGGTATGTTGGTATGGTATGTAAACTAGTGAAATTAAAAAAGCTGAGAGTACCATCACCTCAAAAGAAGAAATAAAAGTGGTTCGTATATGCTCAGATATTTTTATGGATTGTATGCCTGGATGGAGTTCATGATGACAAACACTTTCCCCAGAAGGCGTTGAGCTCAGTTCAGCAACTTCAGCTTTTAGTAAGATGAATGGGGATGGCCTTTGTGGTGCCTGGGAAGTCCTTATGCTGAGACCTATAGAGAGTTTATTGCTTTTACAGCCAGGCTTTGTGATAAAGTGCCATATTTCTGACCACCCACTCTCTTCCACATACTCTGTCTCTTTGCTGTGTTGCTTCTGGTCTCTTTTTCACCTCTTTGTCAACTTTTCCTTCATTTTTTCCCCTTTCATCTTGCTGTGTCGCCTCACTTCTCTGTCACTTTCCCCCCTGCTTTTTCTCTGCATGGCTCTCTGCAACTCCCTGTCGTTGACTTTGGCACACTCTCCTCTTGTCTCCCTTCTATACCCTCTCTTCCTCTTGCCCTCCCCCCTCTCTTTAGTAGTTAGCAGCACTGCAAGATTAGCAGCCATTGCTTTTTAATGTTATTTATGTCAATTGAATTTTTCTCAAGTGGTTGGCATGGCTGAGCAGACACTGAGTGGTGTTTCTAATTGGCAAATGGGTTGGCACATTTATCTCATGGTATGATACCTGAGTTCTGAGCTTCAATCACTGCCTCCCACCCACTGTGATAATTGAGAAAACCAGTCGAGTTGGCTTGACAGGAGCTAGGGAGACAAATAAACTTCCTATTAATAGTGGATTTTTGCTAGCTAGGGATGATGTAGAAACTTTGTTTTACAGCTACACACACATAAAAAATATCAGACTTTTTAAAAAATGTGTAGCGTGCCTGTGGGGACTGAATTATCACTTATCTCTAAAACAAAAGTTTTTCCGTGGGATTCTGGTTGGCTGTCTCACAAAATCACACCATTATTCTTGTACCATATAACGCTGTATATACCGAACCTTCCTGCCGTCACAAAATTGTCAGAGCTGTCTGTACAGCAGTGTTGATAGATGGCCACTTATCATTATCCCTATATACTTTCCACTTATGCTCCTCTTATCAATCCTTTTATGTGTGGAGAGGTGTGGGCTAATATTCCATTGAGCTAAACTAGTTTGCCTTCACCTGGGGAAACAGGGAGTGAACTTGGGGCTAATGTAGAGGCCTGCGGTTCCCTGAATAGTATAACAATGGCAGATAGGCTTCAGTTGAGGGATTTTAATGGAACAGTCCAGGGTGATAGCCAGCAGACATTATTCAACACCGATACCTGAGAGATTTTCAAGTTACTGTATGTGTTTCTACACCCCTACAAAAAAACTACTACTTCTACTCTGCTGAACCTTCAGTAAAAGTGCTGCAGAAATCTATGTTTTTGTGGTGCTGTGGCTCTTTGGAAAGACTGTTGAAAGGAAAGACATTTTCATTAGTGTTTAAATTTGTAGATATTTGTTTCAACTGATTGATTAATGTTTCTTTAATAAATAGAAAAAGAACTTCAGCATATCCTCACATTTGAGAAGCTATAACCAGCACGATTTCTTCCTGAAAAGTGACTCTAAGTGGTTATTTGATTACCAAAGTGGTGGCCACTTATTTTTGAGACTATCGACTAATTGATTAATAGACTAATCGTTTTAGCTGTTGGCATTGTCTGCCCCAATGAAAGTGCACAGTATGTAACTCTGTTGTGGTTTATTATAATAAATAGTTTGGTTTCTGTAGAAATTCTACACATAGCAACGGTAGACGAATTACAAAATAAATCTTCCCATTGTCCTTTACATATTTTCATGTCTTGTTGGAGTGAAATCCCCAGACCTTACATGAATGCATTTGTGCGACGCGGCCCCTTTCAGCGACAATTCAATGCTGTGGTGCTACACTCATACAGTATTGTGATAGCCTTAGATAGGGAACGTGCTGTACACATCACGCAGCAGCACAATGCTGTGATGCCTGCCACTGTACATAACTGTAGGCTGTGTTGACTGTTGCGTGGGAGGTTACATAAACATACACAGCGAGGGAGGAAAGAACTGCCATAATGTCACATTCATAAATATGTGCAAAAAAGAAGAGTGTGAGAACGAAAAACGAGAATCAGACTCTGACAAAGCTTAAAAGGATTTTGATAGGTTGTCATCCCTAAAATAATTGAAGCAGTCGTACAAATGGTGATGGGAGCACAGCAGTCCTCAGACTTGAACCATTAATTACACTAGTTAGTGATTTACCTGCTGCAGGAGGAGGATGGACGCACACGGTCTTGATTGTGCTGAGATAGCACGCACTGTTCTCTCACCACGACTAGAGAATAACCTCTGAGCTGTTTGAAGGCGCTAGCAGGTGTGTGTGTGTGTATGTACAGCGTGTATGTGTATGTGTATGTGTGTGTGTGTGCGTGCGCATGTGCGGAGGTGTGTGTGAATACGCTTGACAGCAAGGATTACATAACAGAGATGCCTGCTGCTGCAGGTCACCGTGAATGACAGGAGCAGACACACACACACTCCTCTCCTCCTGTGTGCCTTTAGTGTTCTTCCCTGTCTCTCTCTCTCCTCTCCTCTTCTCATTCCCGCTCGTCGCTCGGTCGCTCTCGCTCCTCCGTGCTCGCTTTCTCGCTTCTTTGCTGTCTTTCTCTCGTCTCTCGCCTCTCTCTCCGGTCTCCTCGTCTCTTCTCTCTCATCATTTCTCATCTGTCTATTTATCTGCCAGCCGTCGAGTTTGCTGAAAGGTTTTTCTAAAGTAATATGATATGATGAAATCTGGGGTTACCCACAAACAGTAAGATGCTGCTGTGTATCGGTTAGCCGGTTTGAATATTTCGTAGTAATGTCTTACAGGGCAAGCACCGTTGTGGGTTTCCTCCTTGTGTCTTTGTTGCATTTTGTGATGTGAAGGATTATAGCAATTCCTGGAAGGTATTATAGCGTTGCGACACTGCAATGAAATAAGTCTCCATCACATTGAGAAGTAGTGACTGAAACGGGAACGCGCACGGGAGTATGGTGTCTAACTGCTCATGCAGCAAGTCAGAACAGAACACAAGAGGGAACACGCATGCATGGGGGTCAACCGCTAGGGGTCAGCAGTGCAGCACACAACACAGCACAGGGATCCAGCTGTTCTGTTCGTATGTTCAGACGTAGCTGTGACTGTCTGTTGCGGTACACACGATTACGATGCAGCACACAACACACCCAGAGCCATGGAGGTGGTTGTTGGTAGTAGAGTATTTTTAGACTGTGTTGAAGTTACAATTGTTGTTGGTTCTGTTTTGTTGGGTGGTGTGTTTCTACTGCAGGTGTGAACAACTGGACCTGTAACATTTGAAAGGGTTGGGTTATGTAAAAAGGAATGTGGATTGCGGGTCTTTTTTCTCAGCCTGTTCCCCTTTCATCCCGACGCAACCCAGTCGCCCCGGGGGGGGGCTAGGAGAACGAATTGGGCTACTGTTTCAAATTGTTTTTTACACTGTTGTAGATTTTGTTTTTCCTCGAGTTCTTATCCACCTCATTGAATGGAACGTTGCCCCTTCAGTTTTTAATATAATTAAGCTCAACTTTGCTGTTAATCAAAGTCAGGGGCCTTTAAATTCGTCCGGCTCTCAACTTTTTGTGTAAGGCCCCAACTGATTCTCTAAACAATTCTTCGCAGTTGGATGGACATCTCGGTCTGCTGGGACGGCGCACTTAGCTAGCAATGATGTCAGCCCGCCGGGAAAGCTTATGCAGCACTAAGAACATTTCTAATTGAGTGGACACCACTTCTATTTGGTGAGTTTGTCATGTTATTTTGTTCAACCTGCTGAATCCTCTCAGTACGTAGAAGCAATGAAATTTTTAAGTCTTTGTATAGCATTGTATTAAAAGTGGAAATGGGATTTTGTTCTATACGATTTGGTTTTCTTCTTATGGGAATAACAAACTGGTTCATGTTTGTTGGCAGACCACAAGACAAGGTTTAATCTTAACTTAGAGTTTATATATTTAAAAGCTGTAAAAAATAAAAGATATCAGTACGAATTGATTTGATAATGATGTTGACGTGCTATGTTTCTCTGGGTAAGGAGAGCTAATCATGAAATAGAGAAACTGTATTTCCATTGGTGGATGGGCATGTTCACAAGTGTGAACTGTAGTGAGTGAATGTAAAGAGGTAACTCTCTATATAATCTCTATCACGTGTCCTGGTGTCCTGGTCTTACCGTATTTGTTTGTTTGCATTGAGCAGGGGGTGGAAGCGACTTATGGAAAAGATTTCAGTGTGGGAAGCTTTTGAGATTTCTGAATACGTAGCGCAAGTTTCGGTCAA